TCCTCCTCCTCCTCTTCCTCCTCCTCCTCCTCTCCTCCTCCTCCTCTTTTCCTCCTGCTCTTTTTCTCCTCTTTCTCCTCTATTTTCCCCTCCCCCTCCTCCTTTTCCTCCTCCTCCTCCTTCCCTCCTCCTCCTCCTCCGCCTCAGCCTCCGCTCCCCGCCTCCGCCTCGCCTCCGCCTCCGCCTCCGTCCTCCTCCTCCTCCGCCTCCTCCCTCCGCCTCGCCTCCTCCTCCTCCTCCTCCTCGCCCTTTCTGTCCTCCTTTCCCTCGTCCTCGTCGTCCCTCCTCCTCCCCTCCTCCTCCTCCTCCTCCTCCTCCTCCTCCTCCTCCCCGTGCCGACGGGAGGCTGCAGCCCTGGGGGGAGACTGCGGTGGACGCACGGGGCGCCTGTAAGGGGGCTTGTCTGTCAAGCCCCCGATGAGCACCACCGCAGTGCCCCCCTGGGCTAGGCCCCCCTGGGCGACACAGGCATAATTCGGGCCTTGGAAGGCCTGCCCTTGCACGTCGACTACCCCGCCTTCCCTCCCTGCCATCCTCCCCTTCATCCGGTGGGGCGCCGAGCTGGACGTCCGTCTTCTTGCTCATCCTGAACCTCCCGATCCCCCCTCGCAGGACTCCTCCGCTGGTCCTCCCTCCACCTATCGATGTAGGAAGTGCCGCGCCGTGGATGTAGGACTTGCCACGCCGTGGATGTAGGAAATGACACGCCGTGGATGAAGGAATTGCCACGCCGTGGTTGTACGATTAGCCACGCCGTGGTCGTCGACATCCTCCTTGGTTCTGGATGTAGGAATTGCCACGCCGTGGATTTTGAGATTGTCACGCCGTGGATGTAGGAATTGCCACGGGGGGTAGTAGGCATTGCCACGCCGTGGATGTAGGCATTGCCGCGCCGTGAATGTAGGACTCGCCACGCCGTGGATGTAGGAATTACCGCGCCGTGGGTGTAGGAATTGCCACGCCGTGGATGTAAGAATTGCCGCGCCGTGGATATAGGAATTGCCACGCCGCGGATGTGGGAATTGCCACGCCGTGCATGTAGGAATTGCCACGCCGTGGATGAATGCATTGCCACGCCGTGGATGTAGGAATCGCCACGCCGTGGATGTGAGCACTGCCGCGCCGTGGATACTGGTTGCACTGAGTATGGTAATGAGGATTAGCGCTTTCGGCATCTTAACTGTATCCCTGGATAGACCCCCCCACACATGTATTTGCAAGGTGGAGTTCTGGCAGGAAACCGCACTAGGCAGGTAAGGCTAGCGCCGTCCGCCCTGGAACTCTGCCAGGACTGTGGGCTACGGCTATGCTGCGCATACCCATCTAGCCTGCGGTCCGTTGTTTCGGCTGGCCCGGCTCAACAAATAAGGCTGGAATTCTGGTGGCAAGCAGCATTAGGTAGGCAAGACTAGCGCCGTCCGCACTGGAACTCTGCTAGGACTGTGGGCTACGGCTATGCTGCGCATGCCCATCTAGCCTGCGGTCCGTTGTTTCGGCTTGCCCGACACCACACATAAGCCCTGAGTTCTGGTAGCACGCCGCACGAAATTGGGAACTCTGTTAAGGCCCCAGGCTAAGGCCCTTGAGTTTGCGTGACTCGAAAAGTTTCTAGAGTCATTCTCCACTCGCCAAAGGGAAGGCGAAGGTGTTTGTGGTTTACCCCGGTCAGGGTGTTGGTTCCTTGGGGCCACACCTCCATCCTTGCGGGTTCCAGAGCCCAGGGGGTGGGAATATTTTTTTAAACTCGGCACCCTTTGTCCCGGCCTGCCCAGTTCAGGGGTAGTAGCCGGATCCCCTACAGGCCAGGCTCGCCCCTCAACCACTGGGGGGGTCTTCCGGCATACCCAGCCATCTCGGGTCGAGGAGCACAACCTGTCATATCATGACAGGCGTCCTTACGTCCGTTGCAGCGCGGCTGTATAGGCTGGCGCCTTTCGCACTGGAACTCTGCCAGGAGTGCGGGGTACGGCTATGCTTCGCATACACATCTAGCCTGCGGTCCGTTGTTTCGGCTGGTCCGACTCAACAAACAAGGCTGGAGCTCTGGCAGGAAAGCCGCACTAGGCAGGTAAGGCTAGTGACGTCCGCACTGGAACTCTGCCAGGACTGTGGGCTACGGCTATGCTTCGCATACCCATCTAGCCTGCGGTCCGTTGTTTCGGCTGGCCCGACTCAACAAATAAGGCTGGAGTCCTGGTAGCAAGCAGTACTAGGTAGGCAAGACTACTGCCGTCCACACTGGAACTCTGCTAGGACTGTGGGCTACGGCTACGCTGCGCATACCCATCTAGCCTGCGGGCCGTTGTTTCGGCTTGCCCGACTCAACACATAAGCCTTGGGTTCTGGTAGCACGCCGCACTAGGTATGCAAAATCTTGCCAACACTGGGGGGGATCCGTGTAGGCTGGGTCCAGATTGCTAAGGCGTAGCCACCAACAAAGCGCTCCCGTCCCCACATCCCTTCTCTAACCCAAGCCAGTCCCAACCCGACCGCCCAGCTCTCCAGAGGCCAGACGCCATCCTGCCTCCTCGCTCTCCCCCGCCTCGTCTGCCCCCCCTTCCCCCTTCGGTTCCCGCCGGCTCCCACTGCCCCCCCCCCCCCCCCCCCCCCCCTGCGCTCTCCTCTCTACCTCCTCCTCCCCCGTCCCAGGACTGGTAGCCCAAGCTTGCTTTCGACGTGAGGCTGCTAGCTAGGGCGGGACCTCGCTAGCATCCCCCATAAACACGCTGCGAGTTGGGGTCTCCCCAAGCAACTGGTGTCCCCCATTGGCAGTCCCAAATGCGGCCAACGGCCCCGAGGGGCTGCTCAATGGCGGCCGGCTCGCAGACCTGGCAGTTTGGTCAGTGATCCTCCTCCTCCTCCTCCTCCCTCCTCCTCCTCCTCCTCCTCCTCCTCATACAATTACACAATATGAAAATACTCTCCCACTTCCCCTGATGGCGTCCCGAAGATGGCCGACCCCCCCCCGCGTACTGTTTTTTTACACAGGATTCCCGGGAAACGGGTTTTCGCTGCTGCTCTCGCTGAGGCGCCGGCCTCATTTCTGCTCCCGAATCGTTCCGAATCGTGTTCCCGCTGCAGCGTGGGCCTCATTTTCGGATCGGTGTTTGGCCTCCGTCGTTCAGGATGGCGTTCTCGCCCCAGCGCGGGCCTCTTTCTCGCGCGCCCATCCGCCCGCCACCACCGCGCCGCAACAGCACCAGCACCAGCACCAGCACCAGCACCAGCACCAGCACAAGCACCAGCACCAGCACCACCACAACCACCACCAGCACCACCAGCACCTCCAGCACCAGCACCAGCACCAGCACCAGCACCAGCAGCAGCACCGCCACCACCAACACCACCACAACCCCAACCACGCACACACGCACGCACGCACGCACGCGCACTACCACCCACTACGCACGCGCGCGCGGAGCCACAGGTCCGCTACGACACGCGTCCGCGGATAGAGAAAATCAGCGCCATGGTAAGGGATGGGAGGGAGGGGTAGGACGTCAGATATGACGCGAGCGCACCTAGCTTGTCCTCCCCCCTCCTCCTCCTCCTCCTCCTCCTCCTCCTCCTCCTCCCTCCCTCCTCCCTCCTCCTCCTCCCCTCCACCTCCCTCCTCCTCCTCCTCCTCCTCCTCCTCCTCCTCCTCCTCCTCCTCCTCCTCCTCCTCCTCCTCCTCCCTCTCCTCCTCCTCGGGCGCGCTGGGGGGCCTTTTGGGGCCCTCTTGGGCTCTCTTAGGGCCCTCGGGGCCCTCTTGGCCGTATTGGGGCCGTCTGGGGGCCATCTTGGGTCGTTTGGGGCCCCTTTGGGGCGCCTCTGAGGCCGTCTTGGGATGATCTCTGGGGCCTCTTAGGCAGTCTTGGGCCCGTCTGGGGGCCCTCTTGGACCGTTTTTGGCCCGTTTGGGGCGCCTCCGGGGCCGTCTTGGGACGATATTTGGGGCCCGTCTGGGGAAGAAACGGGCCATGGGAGCCGCCCGGGAGCTGCTTCAATCGAAACAATACAAAGGAAACGGGCTGTTAGACCAATTCCCCCCGTGCCTCGCCCCCCCCTGCACCCCCCCCCTAAGAAGGGCTTCGCCCCAACTCAACGTCACTCGCTCGTACCTCGCTCTTTCCGTCACCTGGCCCGCCACAGAAAACGGAAAGAGCGCTTCAGAAACAGAAACCGAAATTACGCACATCACCCTTCGTACTGGGAGCCTTGGCGTTCAGAGCTTGTTACGTCACCCCTCGCTCTTGGGAGCCTTGGCGTTCAGAGATTGTTGCGTTGCCGCCCGTTCCTGAGCCTTGGCTGGGCCTCGGTGTCAGGAACTTGGTACGTCACAGCTCTCTGCTGGGAGCCTTGGTCTTATCAGCTTGTTTACGTCACCGTTCGCTCTTGGGAGCCGTGGTGTGAAGAGCTTTTTGCGTTACCGATCGCTCTTTATTTGGCGTCTCTGGGCCTTCTTGGGAGTCATATTGGGGCCCTTCTGGAGCCCTTTCGGGGGCCTCTTGGGGGCCTCTTGGGAGCCTCTTGGGGCTTCTTGGGGGGCTCTTGGGGCCTCCTGGGGGCTTCTTGGGGCGAAAGGCTAAACTTTTCGGATCGTGGTCCCCTCTTGGGACCGTCTTGGGGCCATCTTGGGCTGCCTTGGGCGCCTCTGGGGCCCCAAGGCCGCCTTGGGGCCCTCTTGGGCCGTTTTGGGCGCCTCTTGGGAGCCTCTTGAGCTGCCTTGGGGCGGTCTTGGGGGCCTCGCGGACCGTCTTCAACGCCGCGAAAGCCCAAAAACCGCGTATGCTAAAAATGCACGTTTTCCTATAGGAATTCAATGATTTTGGCATATTGGGGGCCTTCTTGGGGGTCCAATTGGAGCCCTTTTGGAGCCCTTTTGGGTGCCTCTTGGGGGCATCTTGGGGCTTCTTGGGGGGCTCTTGGGGCCTTCTGGGAGCGTCTTGGGGCGAAAGGCTAGACTTGTCGGTTCGTGGTCCTCATCTTGGGGCCGTCTTGGGGCTCTCTTGGGCCGTCTTGGGCGCCTCTCGGGCCGTCTTGGGGCCATCTTGGGCCGTTTTGGGTGCCTCTTGGGAGCCTCTTGGGCAGTCTTGTGGCATTAAACAAAAAACTGATCGCCATCGACACTGCAATCTTTCTAGGACTCCGCCTCTCTCACGTCGGCGCCTCGGAGAGAAGACTCCCCTGCTCCTCGGTATCTTAACCGCCGCCAGCGTCGCCCAGTAGCGAGGCCATCTGCTTCACGCTCTCCAGGAGCGGGCTCACGGGCTTCAGGAAGACCGAGCCCTGGTTGCCAATCAAGACCACCCAACCCGCAATCGTCTTGCCGTCCTTTCTGAACCTGCACTGCATCCCCTTCACGCCCATGCTCTCCTCGTGATAGGACCCGTGCGTCCTCTCGAGGATCTCGCCGACCTCAAGTCTCCTGAGCACCTTGCAGAGAGGCATCGCGTCTGTGGTCGCAATGGCTATCACCACCTGGTAGAAGAGGCGGAGAAACTTGTGGAACACGTCCTTCCCTATGGCGCTGCAGCCCTCGGTCTCCAGGACGTGCTGGAACAGCTGGATGGCCTCGCCGTCCTTGAACTTCGGCGCAGAGGGCAGGGAGCTGGCGAAGGAGGCCATCTTGTCGGCGGGGACGTCGTCCCCGCCCGCGCAGACCTCTTCGAACAGCTGCTGCTCTGTCTTTTTTTCTGCGTCCATGTAGTCCCGTATGCAGACCACTGTCTCCACACGCAGCTCTTCCATGCGCCTGGACGCCTTCTCGCGTCTATCGGCCTTGTTCTCCTGCTCGCACTGCTGATCAACGTCTTTCGCGGCTTTCTCGAGGTCTTCAATCAGGCCCTTGATGCGAGGAACACGACCAGGGTCCACCGAACGCATCCTCGAAAACCCTTCCAGGTTGTCACGGCAAGCGCGCAACCTCTCCTCCAGCACCAACTGAGCACGTGCTCGCTCCTCCAGGCGTGCACGTTGACGCTGAAACTCCTTCATGTCCCTGATGTGGTCGTTAAATTCTTTCGTCGCTGTGAACACGCGCTCTTGGTCCCTCTCTACGAGAGAGGCGTCCTCGGGATAGGCATCGCAATCGATCTCTTGCAAGAAGGCTTGCCTCTTGGCTAGGCGCTGCTGCGCATTCTTTACATCATCGCGCTTGGCACTCTCGGGGCCCAACCTGTCCTCAGCGAGCTGGATGGCGTTACGCTCGGCTTGGGACCTCCTCTCAAAGCTGGCCCTGACAGATGTCAGCTCAGCTTCCACCTTCTTCAGGAGTCCCCATGCCTCCGCCAAGAGATCGGCAGCCATCGTGGGGTTATCTAGCCAACGTTGCAGCTCAACCAGGCTATCCAACAGAACGATGCAGACCTTCATGTCGAACTCGCCGAACTTGGTGCAAATGCCGTAGAAATACTTGGATAGTAAGAAGTCTCGCTCTCGGTCGCACATCGGGCCGCCCTTGATCGCCACGAGGTCAAGGCGCAGATCCCTGTGCGACTTCACCGCTTGGTCGATCTTGCCCTTCCATGCTGTGAACCATTTTTCGCCATTCTGGGCGAGCGCCATGTTTAGCGCGTCTTGCGCATCCCCTGCTGGACCTATCTTGTGCCCTTTGCCACGCAGTATGTCGTTAGCCGGCTCGAGGACAGGCTGGCCTTGTAAGTCTTCCACTGGCGCTGATGCCAACAGAATGTGCAGAGGAGGTTCAGCTCTGAGTTTCTCTTGGGACTGCCGTATCAACTCATCTGGTATGGACTGACATCGGGGATCATCCATGCTGGCTGGTGTCCGGCCACCACGCAAGCCGAGGGCGCCCAATGGGGAAAGCATGGCGAAAGGCTTCATCTTGAGCCCACTTGAACCAAAATGGCTACGGACCGACTTGGGGCGATCTTGGGGGCCTCTTGGGCCGTCGGCAACGCCGTGAAAGCCGAAACGCCGTATATGCTAAAAATGTACGGTTCCCTTTGGGGAATCAATGATTTTGACTTCTTGGGGGCCTCTTGGGGCCCCTCTTGGGCGCCTCTCGGGGCGTCTCGGAAGCCTCTTGGGCCGATCTTTGGGGCCCCTTGGGCCGTCCGGGGCCCTTCTGGGACGGAAAAGGGGAGAACCCGAAAAACAAAAACATACAAAACACACAAAGGAAAACCCCAATACGGCCCTTAGACCGCAATTGGGCGGGCCTCGCCCCCCTTCTGCACTCCCCCTAATAAGGGGCTTCGCCCAAACACAACGTCATCACTCGTACATCGCCCTTTCCGTTACTTGAGCTGCGTCTTTGACGCGAAAACGTCTCCGTTGAAGCAAGCCGCTCGTTTGTTAGAAGCACACCAGGAGCTGCTTCTAAGAAGCAGCCGCACGCTTCTTACAAAGGGCGCCCGCGCCTTCTTAGAAGGGGGGTGTTTCTACGAAGCGTTCCCCCCTTCCGCCTCCCCCTTTCGCGCGTGGCTGAAATGGCGCCATGGCGCATGATTTCCCCACAGTGACGTTGATTGGCGTCGTTGAAGTTCCAGGAGCGGTGTTTTGGCACCAGGTGTCCAGACGATTGTCTTCCAACGTGGCTCTTCCCGCAGCGAAGATCCTCACAGGAGTCTACGCAGAAGGACCTTGGAGGGAGGGCTTACTGCAACATCGTTGATGGGCCTTGGGTTTCAGGTCCTCCTCCTTCGAGCTCCTTCAGGTTCAAGAGCAGTTGTCCCACCTGGTTCAAGAGCAGTTGTCCAACCTAGTGGAAGACAGAAGCAATGGAGAACAAATGAACTGAAGAGCAGCGGGGCGCGGCTGGCGTCAAAGTTGTCGCCGTCGGCCATTGGGCAACGGCCAGCACGACACGCCAGACTGCCCTCCACTGCTATTGCTGCTGAGTCCTTACGCTCCGTCCCAACTGATTACGCGAGGACGGGCCCACGCCTCGAGCAGGGACCGACCGTCCCAACATTCATGTAGGCCTACCACGACATGTTCTTAGAACCCGAAAGTGTCCCAATAAAAAACACCATGTTCTTAGAACATAGACCCGATGTGTTAACACAAGACAGATTCAGCCAAGAATGCTCTAAGAACATGTCGTGTAAACCAAACAAAGTTCTCAGAGAACACTCATTGGTAGTCATAGCAGCGAGCCTGGACGCTTCGCCACTGCTTGGACGCCAGCTTTGAGCATCTGGAGGCTTTTCCTGGCGTGCTTATTACGTTGTTCCTCCTTCCTCCCCCTCCCCCCTTTCTTAATATCGTTTAACGTTTAACCGATCCAAACCCCCAGCGGCGTGGCCTGGGCCCCACTGGCCGATTTACCCCCTCAGATGGGGACATAAGCAGTTCCCTTCGGGTTTGGGGGTCTCGACGGGGATGGATATGGGGATGGGAATCGGTGAAACGATACCGAAATTCGATCTTCTGCAGCACTCTGGGGGACCAGGATCCCTTTACCCTTCTTGCCCCAGGAGGCCGAGGCGCCGCGCCGTCGTCTCCTCCCCCGCCCCCCGCCCTCGTGAACCCAGGGCCCCCCCCTCGCTGCGAACCATTAGCGACGGCGGGGCTCGTGTAAACCGGGGGCGGCCAAGGGGGGTGTCCAAGAGGGAGGGGCGCAAATCTCCCCTCCGCCATTCCGCCCTCCCTTCCGCCCCCCCTACGCCCCCCCCCCCGGGGATCGCCTCTCCTCCTCCTCCCCTCCGCCCCCCCCCCGTGCAAACCCGCAGGGCTCTGCGCGCGTGGAGAGACGGCGCGGCCGACCGGGGCGCGGCGAGGCCTGCCCACCGGCGGCGCCGTGGCCTCGCGCGGGAGCAGGTGCCCAGCAGCACCGATCCGCTTGCTCCGGAGGGCCATGATAACGTTTTTTTTTTTTTTTTTTTTTTTTTTTTTTTCCTAACAGCAATAATAATACTAATAATGATAATGATAATAATAATAATAATAAGAAGAATCAGAATAAGAATAAGAATGATAATAATAATAATATGATAGATATGCATCTATTATTTGGGGTAACGGCTGTTACCCAGGGGGAGGGGTGGCCGGCGGGTAACGGCAACGGCGGCCGCGGCACGCGCCCGCCAGGGCGCGTCCGCGCCATCGGTGTATCAATTTGATTTTGATCTGACACGTCGCATCGCAAGGGCTAAGACAAGCAAGGTAGAGAGGAAATCACTAGATGGCCCTACCCCCATGGGGAAGGGCACACCAGCAACTAGCTCCCCACCTCACCAGTCGAAACCGAGGAACCACCGCTGTCCACAGCACAGGTGAAGTCCGCAATAGGCACCAGCTCGTCAAGCAGCACATCCCTACTGTTGGGATGGATGCCTCTTCTAATGCGAGAGAGGTTGCCACGCGTGTGGTTAGAGGAAGGCCCGCCCTTGCACGCCTTCCCAAGTCCACCAAGCCGCACTCCCTCGGAAACACTGCCACAGTCCATGCAACAGGACAGGGTGACCCCATCAGGGGTACCGGTCAGGTGGATTTTGTGCCCCTGGGGCTCCTGCACAAGAGCACACAACACATAATTAAATCCTAAACAATCCGCAGCAGGCTGCGGAGGGTCCGAACGCACGCGAATGAGACACCCGCGCAGGCCCACAGGCCAAGAATCCAACTGAATTGATGGCCTCTCTCTCTTCGCTGGGGCGCCTGCGAGGGACGGGCCCACAGGGCCCCCAGCCGAAGGAGGGCCAGGAGGCGGGGGGGCACCCCGAGGGAGACGGGAGGAGCTTGGACCTCCCAAGCCAGCCGCACCCAGCACCTCGTCGGCGGCGCCGACGGCGGCGGCTCGGGCGGCACTGCCTCCAGCAGTGGCGGCGCTGGCAGGTCCAGCGCGGGAGGTGCCTGCCCTGCCCAATCTACTGCTGGGCCTGGCTGGCGCAAGACTTGACCAGTGCAAAAAAAAAAAAAAAAAAAATGCCACAAAACGCAGGAGGCACTTTAGGCTGGACGCTTCAAGGCTAAACTCAGAAAGCTCGTTCTCCGACGGACGGCGCAGCCACCTTCGCAGCCACTTCAGCCCGGTGATTTCCTTAGCCTTGTACCAGTCCTCGGAAAATGGCTCAAGACAATCAGCACTCTGATGGCCTTTCACTTTCGCGAAAGCAACAGCGTCTTTCCTGGGCAGGTGGCTCAGAGCAAGGAGAATAGGTCCAGCGTAGTAAGCCCTTCTGCCTGAAACAACTTCCAGAGGCTTCGCTCGCGGCCACAAGTCCTTTGTAATCCGTGCAAAATTCAGACGCCAAGCTCGCGCACTTGCAACTGACCAGAAAAAACAACATGCTCCGAAGCAGAACTCGTCTGCGGCAACTTGGCCCCGACCTTGCCCGAGATGATTGCGCAGGGCCCCGCATCTTCCTGGAGACATACGCATGCCCAGCCTGCGCAATGGTGGACTTCGTGACCTTCCTTAAAGCAGGAGCCGTCGTGAAAGCACTTCTTGTTTCGGAACGCCTCCAGGGGGGTCAAGTTGGGGCCCACAGAAAAAGGCATAGCTGTCGTGTCCGAAACCATCGGGCGGTCTCAAGATATTCTCAGGAACCAACTGACACCCAAGCAGAAGAGGATTCTTCTTATCTGCTCGAGAGATCAGTTCAACCACTTCTTCCTTCAGGAACGCATCCCTTACGCAAATGGTAGCAGAACAATCAGACAAACGGCGGTGAAGATCACCCCGAGGAAAACGGCACAGAGGGCACGATACGTCTTCCACAACATAGCCCGATCTAGCTAGACGCCACTTGGACCACAAGCGCTGCGTGGCAAATGCGTTCAACATGCACTTCTCAGCATGCGACAAGGCACTGCTGGGGGATAACAGCTGGCAGCAGGCAGGCGTGTCCAAGGGCTCTCCAGGGCGACCAAACTTACGAGCGGCCTTCGCAGCCAACATGTGCATCCACGCCGCTCTCAGATCACAGAACTTTTGCGGGAAACGTGCTGGTTAGCACTACTTCCTGTCCCTCGTGGTCCTCCAAGACAAAAGGGGTGGCGAACTTCCAGGAGACCCGAACCAGAGAGACGACGGCAGCCCCGAAGGGCCCTTTGACCTGGTTCCAAGCTTTCGGCGGCCTCGCCAGGATGTTCGAGGCGAGCCCCCGCAGCCGTGGCAGCGAGGGTTCGAATCCAGGGCTGGTCGCAGCTTTCCAGACCAGGTTCGCCCAGGCAATGACAGGGCCCAAAGCAAGCCCGTAGGTGGGATCCTGAAGGATTAGTAGCGGCAGCGTGCGGGGCCTGGATGGGCACGCGCTTCCAAACGTCAACAGGGAAGAAGGGCCGCGCCGCTGCAACTGCCCGCGTGTCCAACCCCACCACCTCGGCCCCGTAATACCCGAAAGACTGGTACCTGTGAGGTACACCCGCTGCATGTTGGCGCCTCCCTTCCTTATGGCAGCAAGTCTTCTCTTGCGACGGCTGAGCTTCTCGATTCTCTCTTTCAAGAAACGAGTGGCACCTCTCCGACACCTGAGCTGCCCCCCCGTGGTGTCCACGCCTAGATTTGCAGCTGGGATCCCGTTTGACTGCATGTGCTTTCCCATGGGCCGAGCCAGATCGCGCCTGATACTGTCCGATGAAGCGACCATATCGCAGGCAACGGCACACTGCAAGTCAACCTGGATCAACTGGATTATCTGGGCCGAGCTCTCAACTGATCTTGTGGCGAGGTTCTTCGGGTCCGAATCTTGATTCAGAATCGCCCAATCGTCGATTAAAAAAAGAACATATGAGTTCTTCCAAGATCCTGCTGGAGCTTCGAATCTGGCCTATAGGAGTACACCTGAACCAAGAACGTGACAAATGGGCACCCAGCCAGAATCACGCACAGGGGGAATGAGGATTCCAGAGCATAGCCTTCCAGCTGGAAGAACCTTTTCGCACGGTACATGCTGCAGATCACAGCGAGGACCTGCATGTCGAACACCGACTCTGCGG